ATATATCAGTGCACCTCTAAATGAATCTTTTAAAATCCCAATATGTAAGGATAAAAATTCTGGGCTTAAAAAAAATGTATCTATTACAGATAACTTTGAAAGATTGACAAGAATGTCTAGGTGATGTACGTCAAGTGAATGACTAAGTTTTTCACATGAAAGAAAGAAAAGAGCCAGACAAGCACCTTCCGCAGAGTCACACCACAGTCTACCTCCCCACCCAGCCTTCCCAGTCAGTGAGTCACTGAGTTTAGACCTAGAAAAGCTGACTGCTACCCAACTGGTGTAATATTAATAACTCTTATGACTTACAATTATAAATCAGTTTTTCTCAACGGTTTTAAATCTTTGAAAGCAAATATTTCTCAGTATCTTTGACAAATTAATACTCAGATGGAGATCCCTGAAATAAGAATCACATAGTGTTCACCCTCTTTCCTGCAGCTGTACCTGTTAGGGAAAAATTAAAAACAAGACATTTCGCTTGCTTTTCGGGACACAGTTATTCTCTGAGTATTTAACAAAATTGGTGTAAAGGATAAAGAAAGAAAGAAAGTACAGAATGATGTTTAGAATTAAATAAGGTGATAAAAAATGATCTGATTGGGAAAATTTTACTCTTACCTCTTCTGCCTTCTTCCACATTTGGAACTGCTTAGGTTCAAGGTTTAAATAGTTCTTGAAAAATATTTAGAATTTTGGGACCAGCAGATGGCTTAATGGTTAGGTTGGTGGACTCTCACATTGCTGACTGTGGTTCAAGTCTTCAATCCAGAGGCTTGAGCCTCATACTGGGCCATGCGTGCATGTGTGCCCAAAATTCTGAAAGGAGAGTGGAGGAGAAAGGATTGGGGTATGGCCATCCCCTTGGGGAGGATGATCTTTTTCTTTCTGTCTTTCTCTGTCTCTCTGGTGAGCACACGCTTCCTATGAAGGGGAAAAAAAAAAGCTCTTAAAAAAAAAAGGCTTTAAAGTTTCAAGGTCTTTCTTTATTTAGAATGTACCCAAGTGAAAATCCATTCCCAGACTCACCATTGCCCAACTTCAGAGAAGGTCCTGTGCCATTCTCTCACTTGTCCCCTTCCTCAGTAAACCAAGGCTAAGGTGGATCCTTCTTTCTCAACAGATTTCTAACAGCTTAACTTCCTGAAGCTTTCCTAGAAGTTTTTTTTTTCCTCACTCTTCTTTCTACTAGTTTCCTAAGAATTTTATATAATCCTAATAGGATGGGTATCATGTATATTCTTATAACGTCTCTATTTTTAAGAGACTATTTGGATGTATGCATATCTCCATAGTTAAGTGACTGACTTTGTGAAAACAAGTATTGAATTTTTTAATGTACTTTTTCAACCAAAAAGAAGAGAATAAACATTTCATTTGTCTCCTTCAAATAAAATGCTCTAAGTTAGGAGCTAAGCCAAGAGAATGTAGACTTCTTGAGGACAGGGAGTTTAATATCATGAGTAAATTTTTAATAAATGTTGACCTAGACTAAATGCCTATTGTCACAGTATAGTCCTACAAATGGGAAATACCAGGTTTGGCAAAATGGGCTGATTCTGCTATCACCCTATCCAACTCCTTCATCTCGTTTTTACAAAACAGAATGGAATAAGTAACTTTCTTCTGTTGAGAAATGAAGAAATGCAGTCCATTTTGTTAGAGCCTTCTATGGAGGAAGACCTACTATGTGGTAGGGTGGGAGTAGGGGAAGGATCATCTGGTCTTGTACTTACATTTAGACTTCTGACTTCTCACTATGTGAGATGCAGGTACTGTAATGTGCTTAAAATGTTGTTTAAAACAAACAATTCAAATACTATCAGCTTTGTAATCCCTTTGTTGTTTCTTTAATTTCTAATATACTAAAAGCCTTACAAAATGGAAGTACTCTGAGCCTTCCTAACCTTTGAGAAGCCATTCTTCATGATTTGGATGTACATCTAAAACTAATAATAGTAATAATGAAAATGACTTTTTCCATATTAAATGACAAACATACTTTATTTTACTATTAAGGGATACATACTTGACCTCTATAAACGTGAATAAAAACTTTATTTTAAAACCTTTCAAAGGAATTGAATCTATTTTCCTGCTGTGTCTAAGATCTGGTAACCTTTTGAGCATATTTGTATTTACTAAGAAGGGACAGTTCTGTGGAATTAATCAAATAGGGAATTCAATGTTCCTTGTAGATAATTTTGGTCATGTTTCATTGTGAACTTTCTAGTCTGGATTTTCGTCTTTCCTGGGAAAAGAGCCACATGTTCCAAATCCTCAGTCTTTTCTCTTATTAGGAAAAACAATATAACAAAACTGGGGTCAGGCAAGGTGGCCCAGCAGTAATCCAATGCTCTGTGATGCTGAGGTCACATGCATAGGTCCAGGTCTCGTGCCTACAGATTTCCTTGTACTCATGGGCTTCATGCACACCTTCCCATAACCCAAGCTGGCTGAGGTTCTGAGACAGCCCTAACTGGGGTAGGACTGCCACATGGGGCTACTGCTGGCGGTGTCTCTGTGTATGTGTGTGTGCTTGTCCTCCTCTCTCATGGAAGAAGCAAATAAAAATAAACATATATATAAATATATAATATTTATATATACAGAGTTAATGATAATCTGTTTTCAATAAAACACTCTGCTAGAAACTTCATCACTGAAGTTATGAGAAGGCAAAATGCGTGAGGGACAGCAGTTCAAATGTAACAAATACAAACATGTCCAAAATGCTATCAAAAACATCCTGATCTTGGGAACCAGCAGTTAGCGTAATGGCTATGTCGCTGGACTCCCACGTAGTCGACCGCGGTTCGTGTCCCGGACCCGGTGGCTTAAAACTCACGCCGGGCGCGTGTGCGTGCGTGCCCAAGATCCCGAGAGGAGAATGGAGGAGAAGGGATTGCGGCGTGACCATCCCCCTGGGGGGTGATTTCTCGCTTTCTGTCTCTATGTCTCTCTCTGTCTGTCTGGCGAGCGCACACGCCCTACAGTGAAAATCTCTCCAAAAAAAAAAAAATCCTGATCTTCTAACTTTACTGAAAATTAAACAACATTTCTGGGGTGGAAAATTAGAAAATACCTACGGTATAGCCAATATATTACTGTAAACCCAGAAATGACCAATCCCATTTTTCAACCAAGATCAGTGCCCCTGTTTTTGGTAACAATGAAAAATTCATGACCAATGCCTAATTAAAACCTTCAGACATCTACATGTTTTATTCCTTACTGGTTTTCCTAAATTTACAAAATAATCCTAATGCTTATCCTGGATTTGGCTTGTTTCAGATCCGTTTTTGAGTCTGTCAGTTGCTGCTATTAGTCATGCTGTACATGAGCTGGTTTAGCCTGAAAGCCTGAAGAAGCCTATTGTCATTTCCTACCACTGAGGGTTTCCTGGGCATTTCCACAATACATTTGTGCAATTTCTTAACAGTAGTCAGCAGGACACAGAACTTGGACCGAATTCTGCCTGCTGAGGAGTTTTATTTGACCAGTTCGGTATGGGATGTTCAAATGGAGATGCCTAGGAAAGTAAACCAGCAGAAAACAGAGCTTTGGGTATTAGACTATTTAAGGTGACTGAAGTCACAGGAAGAGGGTGTCCCAAGAGAGTATATGGTACAGGAAGACCTTAGGATTAAGTACAGAGTTCTTACTAAGTTCCCAATAAAGCGTTGAGGGCTAAAAGAATAAACTAGAAAATGATAATGTACTTGATTACTAATATCTATTTAAGTTAGAGAAAAACAAAAACAACTTGTTATTTCCATTGAAGTCTGCCACCAGGACTCTCCAGCAACGTCGTAAGTGATGACAGCTAACAAAAGTCCTGGCAACAGTTCATGTTTATATCTTCGAGGTGAAGATACATTATTATATTTTATATTTATTATATTTTCATTCCACATTAGCTCATGATGCATACAAGATGTTTTCCCACAATCTGGCTTCTGGCTCAATGCATTTTTTTTTATCAAAACACACAGGAACTGCCAAAATGAGAGAGTAGCTTTCACTAAATCATTCCAAGTACTACTGTCATTTTAAGGATATTTTCCTAAATCGGTGGATTTTTGCTTAAGGAAATATAAATTCATAGGGAACCAGCAGTTAGTGTAATGGCTATGTCGCTGGACTCCCACATAGTCGACCGTGGTTCGCGTCCCGGACCCGGTGGCTTAAAACTCACGCCGGGCACGTGTGCGTGCATGCCCAAGATCCCAAGAGGAGAATGGAGGAGAAGGGCTTGCGGCGGGACCCCCCACAAAAACAACTTGTTATTTCCATTGAAGTCTGCCACCAGGACTCTCCAGCAACGTCGTAAGTGATGACAGCTAACAAAAGTCCTGGCAACAGTTCATGTTTATATCTTCGAGGTGAAGATACATTATTATATTTTATATTTATTATATTTTCATTCCACATTAGCTCATGATGCATACAAGATGTTTTCCCACAATCTGGCTTCTGGCTCAATGCATTTTTTTTTATCAAAACACACAGGAACTGCCAAAATGAGAGAGTAGCTTTCACTAAATCATTCCAAGTACTACTGTCATTTTAAGGATATTTTCCTAAATCGGTGGATTTTTGCTTAAGGAAATATAAATTCATAGGGAACCAGCAGTTAGTGTAATGGCTATGTCGCTGGACTCCCACATAGTCGACCGTGGTTCGCGTCCCAGACCTGGTAGCTTAAAACTCACGCCGAGCACGTGTGCGTGCATGCCCAAGATCCCAAGAGGAGAATGGAGGAGAAGGGATTGCGGCGTGACCACCCCCCCCGGGGGGTGATTTCTTGCTTTCTGTCTCTATGTCTCTCTCTGTCTGTCTGGCAAGCACCTGCACTCTATAGCGAAAAAAACCTCTCCAAAAAAGAAATATAAATTCATTTAAGTACTTGATTCACTTTGTATTGAAGCTTCATCACTCATCACATAGGCAAAATTTTGCTCTTATATATAAGAATCATTTTCTTATTTACACAGGATCAAGCTAAAATGACAACAGCTCAATTCGATTGTCAATACTGCACAGCGTCGCTTCTTGGGAAGAAGTATGTACTAAAAGATGATAATCCATACTGTGTGTCCTGTTACGATCGTATCTTTTCTAACTATTGTGAGGAGTGCAAAGAACCAATTGAATCAGATTCCAAGGTAGGTTTTGCCTCAGTTCACAGTATCACTACATATGAGCAGCAGATAAATGCCTCTTTTCATTTAACGTCGATTTTAACACTGTTTCTCTGCTACTGTATATAAGGATCTCAAAAGTTACCGTCAATAAAGCTCAAGCCACTACCCTTAGCACTGTGAAATGTAATGTGTACTTCAGTTCTTACATAACCGTGTGGGTGAGCTTAAAATGCTAAAGGTGAAAGAGACTAAGCCATATGCCCAAAGTTACACAGATGAAATCTTCAGTTATTTCTGAAACAACCAAGGTATAAATAAATATATAAATAAAGGGAAGTGTAAAGATTCAAAATCTGTGTTTTCTGACTCAAAACACAGCTTTGCCTCCACAAAACCCCGTCGAGGGCTGATAACCCTCTCACATGTTGCCCACTCCTCCAACAAGGCTCATTATTTTGTCCCTTCCTTCTTCCCTCCTTCCTTTTCTTCCTTCTTTTTATCTTTGCTTTAGTTAGGTGGTATTACTTTTTGTTTTGCTTAAGCCACAAAGAATAAAAGGATATTAAAACCTGAAAATTAAAAAAACAAAAGTTATTCCATGAAAAAGCTCTTTTGTAGTTTATTAAAGGAAGGTAGTTTTGAAGAAATAGCATAGTCAGCCTTTAGTGACCAACCAAGAAAGCCCCAGGCTGTAGCTCTTAATTACACCAGAGAGCCTCCTCTCTATAGGTAACGGTATCAATAACAAAGTTACCTCGAGCTACCAGCACAACCTACTGGCACTAGAGTCCCAAGAGTGTTCAGTTTTGTCTTATAAAATGGCCTGTTTTGTCGCAAACACATTTAATTACCTTCTTTACTGTCTCAAAGGATCTTTGTTACAAAGACCGGCACTGGCATGAAGGATGCTTCAAGTGCACCAAATGCAATCACTCTTTGGTGGAAAAGCCGTTTGCTGCCAAGGATGAGCGCCTGCTGTGCACGGAGTGCTATTCTAATGAATGCTCCTCTAAGTGCTTCCACTGCAAGAGGACCATCATGCCTGGTAAGACCTCACAAGAGCCCCAGCCTCTAAATGACATTGCATCCTTTTCCTCAAGTTCCTACCCGAGAAGAGGGCAGCTGTTCGCAAAACCCTGGTTTTGAGAAAGACATCTTTTTTCCACTCTCTTGATCTCATTCAGAGTACTTCAAAAACAAAAAGAGTGTTCAGTCTCTGTTCTTGAACAGGTAAATTACATTACACTGTGTATTTTCATAAAACCTAATTCACACAAACCTTTTTTTAGCAGAGCCTGAGCCATGGAAGAAAGATAAAATTTATACACTAACGCTGCACCAATCAACCTGTCCTAAGGCATAACCACTGTCCTCAGAAAGAACAGTTAATCACAGGAGACTGAGGCCAACCAGCATTCCGTAGTTGGACACAGACTGGCGAGAGGTTCAGTCATTGTTTTCTCTCTTGGGGAGGAGAATGGTCCATGTGAATTAGTCTATGTTTGGCAAACACCAATTCTCTATATTTTGATCCTCTGTGGACAGCAGTGTGAAGAACACGTTCATTTTCTCCCCCTCAAATTCTTTTATGGATTCAAGGGTATTCTAGAAGACTATAACCAACAACATAAATCTCAGTAGTTGTGCCCTGAGCATTCCTAATATCCTTGTAATGATTATTAAGGCTCAACTTCTCTAAACTACAGCCATTCAGAGTCTCCACCTAAAGTATCTTAATATTTCCAATTGTAGCTTGTGCAGGACTAGAGTTTCCAGTGAATGAGTGATTTATCAGCAACATGGCTGAACCCTTTTATCCCTTTTTTTCCCCTCAATGAACATTTCTGAAGCTTACAGAATGGTAGTTTTTCTAAAAGGACAATTAGCTTATCACCTTACCTTTTAAAAAATACATGTTTTTTGGGGTTTTTTTTTGTTTTTTTTAGAGGTTTTCGCTATAGGGCGCATGCGCTCGCCAGACAGACAGAGAGAGACAGAGAGACAGAAAGTGAGAAATCACCCCCCAGGGGGGATGGCCACACCGCAATCCCTTCTCCTCCATTCTCCTCTCGGGATCTTGGGCATGCACGTGCACACGCGCCCGGCGTGAGTTTTAAGTCACCGGGTCCAGGATGCGAACTGCGGTCAACTACGTGGGAGTCCAGCAACATAGCCATTACGCTAACTACTGGTCCCTAAAATACATGTTTTAAGTAACTAGATAAATAGTTGTTTAAAGAAAATAAAATCATGCTTATGTGTACTAATGGGTTCTTTCTTTTGGAGTACAGGTTCCCGAAAAATGGAATTTAAAGGAAACTACTGGCACGAAACCTGCTTTGTGTGTGAGCACTGCAGACAACCAATAGGAACAAAGCCTTTGATCTCCAAAGAGAGTGGCAATTATTGTGTACCATGTTTTGAGAAGGAGTTTGCTCACTACTGCAACTTTTGTAAGAAGGTAATTTTCCAAAGAGGTTGAGGCTTGTGGAACCTTCCAGACCACTGCTTTTTTACCTGTGTTGTGCCTGGAATAAATCAATGCTATCATGTTATACCTGTTTCTACACATTCATGTCAGTTTTGAATCCCAACATGTCCAAGACCTATAGCTATCACAATGAGTAATTTTATTAGCCATAAAATTCCACAGAGAGGAACCAGCAGATGGCGTAAGGGCTATGTCAGTGGACTCCGATGTAGTCGACTGCAGTTCAAGTGTATCTGAACCCAGTGGCTTAAACTCACGCCGGGCGCGTGTGCGTGCGTGCTCAAGATCCCGAGAGGAAAAGGGAGGAGAAGGGACTGTGGTGTGGCCATCTCCCCCAGGGGGTGCTTTCTGTCTTCTGTCTCTCTCTGTCTTTCTGGCGAGCACACGCACCCTATAGCACAAAAAAAAAAAAAAAAAAAAAACCAAAAG